CATTTAATGAGGCTCAGAAGTGGAATGAGTGCAATTAAATCCATAAATTCATGATGATATTAATGTTTTAAATATAACATTTTGAATATAGAAATATTAAATTATTTAAATAACTGAAAAGATACTTTTAAAATGAAACAAACTGCCAGCAGGTGGCGGTAAGTCACTGATTTTTATCACTGAATCATTAATTCAATTGATTCATTCGAACGGCTGATTCATTCAGGAATGAAGCAAGTGACAGTATTTATGAATGGGTAATCATGAATCACTGACTCACTAGATTTGTTTAAAAAAGCCCGTTCATTCATAAACGAAACACCGCAGTGTTTGAATGGAGATGCGCAGCGGCTCCACTGTGCCTTTGTTTTAAACTGTTTTCGACGACGAAATGGAGCAAAATCAGACAATAGTGTTATAGTCAGACAATGTAAGTCACTTAATATTAACTTCTTGTTTATTGAATTGTATTAAATCAGTATCACACTCATCTTAGTTCATCTCGATCTCACATCTATAATCAAGGAAGCTCTCTACACTGCGCGATGAATCTCTCACTTTGCTTATGAAAGGATTCGTGAGATATGTCTGTGATACATTACTCAACGCTGCAAAAACACGTAGAAACCTTTGAAGCTCCCCTGAGCGCAATCACAAATATGATGATGATCGGGTCAGTCAGTGCGCACTGGTGCTCCTAAAAAAAATGTCATAGTCACACGCAGTAGTTTTCAGTCGCAAATGCGACTGGAATGGTCGCACTGTAGAGCCCTGCATTCAGAATAGATCGGTCCAGAGAAATCTGCAGGCCTCGTTTGATATATCTCTCTCCTCACACATTATGCAGAAGGTCTTTTTGTTGAGGATTGGTGGTTGTCCTTTCTTGCAGGCATTGCGTTCCCCACCAGTGTGTCAGTCAATAACTGTGTCTGCCACTTCTCTCCCCTGAAGAGCGACCCTGACTACACGCTGAAAAATGGAGATTTGGTCAAAATGTAGGCAAACTCCCCTCTCCAGTTCGTCTGCGTCTGTCTAACCTCCCCATGTCTTTTCCTTCCTCTCCTTTTCCTCAAGTCACTCTCCTTCCTCTTACTCGGCCCATCTTGTCTGCAGTGTTCTCCACTCTCCGTCTCTATCCCTTCCGATTGTGTCTTCCTGCTTGTTCCCTTGTTTCTTTGTGATCCACACATGCAACTTTGCACATAAATATTACACGTAATAATTGATTTAAGTGTTTTTAATGTAGACACTGCAACGAAAAAGTGTTATGGAATCTCTTATAGAACCTGTAATTGTCTGTGTCAATGTATTTCCTATTACGGCAAGTCATATTTATGGTCTGGTACTTCGTTTTAAAAACCATTTTTATTGTATTAATTTCACAGTGCTCAAAGTTTTGCTGTTTATTTGCGTTGTTCTCTGAAAGCACATAGGTTTTGCTCAGGTTTCCCTGTACCTGTATGTATGTTTTTCTATTTTCCCTCCTAAATTTCTCTTTTCTCTCAACAGTGATTTAGGAGTACATGTCGACGGCTTCATCTCCAACGTGGCCCATAGCTTTGTTATTGGAGCTACTAAGGTTCGTGTGCATATATATGCTTTTCTTCCCCACCGTTACTACGTTTCACATTTTATAAAGTTTCATGGCTGTATGGATGCATAAAAGTGCAATTATAATATGATAATACTCACACACCTCTCTGGAAAATTTGCTACTAATTGGTCAATCGTATCATTTCATGGTCTCAAACGTTTGAAAAGTTTCCGCCGTCCCAGGCAAACAGTTTTTTTCATGGCTATGCTAGTTTAATTTCACTCGTATTGGTCTGTTTTCTCTACTGCATAATATAATAAGTCAACCAAAATGACCATTTATTTGTTAAGTAGCGTCACGATAATTGCAACAATAAACGCTGACACAAAACTAGTGACTTTCCGGCTGAATGTACATTATCCTGTAATTTTGTGATGTGATTTTAATTTCTTTCAGGAAGCACCTGTGACAGGAAGGAAGGCTGATGTCATCAAAGCAGCACACCTGTGTGCGGAAGCAGCTTTGCGTCTCGTCAAACCCGGCAACCAGGTTAGTACGTACTTCACAATTAAAGAGGCAAATAGTTAAGGTTGATGCTTTAAGCGCCACCTGCTGGCAGAGAATGAATCTGCATCTCATTCAGCTCATCTGCGGTTTCTGTTTCATGCAGATATTTTTATGTATCGTTTCACAAAACTGAAGTCAAACCATTCTGTTTTTGCTTCAAATTTCGAAATTATACAATTTAATTTAGATTAAAAACTGCTCATGTTGCATGTATGCAGCATCTTTGTTTGGATCATGATGAAAATGCAGTGTTTGCCTCTAATTTTAAATGGAAAGAGCACAGACAAAGCCTTATTTTGTTTATATGGAGAGATTTCTTTTATTTGTGTTACTTATTTATTTGATTTGGGGCTTGTTTTAAAATTTCAATTTAGTTTTGTTATTTACATTTACATTAGCCTATATTTAAATTTTGTTATTTAGCAAACACTTTTATCCAAAGCGACTAACAAATGAGGACAATAGAAGCAATCAAAACCAACAAAAGAGCAATAATTTACAAGTGCTATATTAGTATATTATTATAGTATATATTATATTTCAATTTCACAAAGAAACATGCAGCATTTTGTCTAAGCAATAATAAAAGGACACATTTAATTTATAATTTGTCTTAAATCTGATTTTGTAAAAAAAATTAATCGTGAATCGAATCGTGAAATCAAAAGTGTGAATCGAATCGTGAGTTGAGTGAATCGTTACATCCCTATTGAAGATTTTAAACATCTATGAGAACATGAGTTGAAAGCACCTCAACACAAGATTGCACAGAATAGTTCAGTATGTCTTAAGAACTGTCTTATATAAAAGTGTTTTGTCTTTTTTTGTCTGCCCCATTTACCTCTGAAGAACACTCAAGTAACAGAGGCCTGGAATAAGATTGCTCAGTCATTCAAGTGCAATCCAATTGAGGGTGAGTTATGGCTGTTATATCATTCGGGAAAGCCCAACCGCAATTAAAACATTATCCATCCAGAGAGTATTGTGGAGTTTGAAGGTGTGGTGGTTAGTAAACTCATTACTCGGCAAAACTGAGAATGAAAACTCATTATTTGTACAAAAATGGGACTGGCTTGATATCTGATATTTGCTTTAAAGGTGACATATCATGAAAATCGGACTATTCCAGGTTTTACATGCTATAATCAGGTCCCTGGTGCATCTAGGTATATCTGAAGTTTAAACTCATATGGTTTAAAACACATGATTTCAGAACCAAAACATATGTTTTTAGCAGGTACGAGCTGTAAAGGCGCAGCTCTATTCTGGAAAAGGCGGCGGGGAGCAGCAGCTCATTTGCATTTAAAGACACAGACCAGAAAAACAGCGTGTTTCTGCTTCCACTCAAAATAGGCATTTTCAAATTTCTATAATAAATGATCTGAGCTGAGTATTTTGAGCTGAAACTTCACAGACACATTCTGGGGACACCAGAGACTTAATTACATATTGTAAAAAGGGGCATTATATGTCACCTTTAAAGGGACAGTTCACCCAAAAATGTCATCAAATTCTGTCATTCCAAACCCACACTTTCGTTTATTTCTATTATTCTATTTTTATTTTCGTTTTTGAAATACAAAAAGTTATTTTGAATGAAACCTAGAGATTTCTGTCCCTACTTTGAAAGTCCTTGGAACCAAAACTTTGATGCATTAAGAAGTTCATAAAGAGATTTTAAGAGTGATCCATATGAATCGAGTGATTTAATCCGAGTGAACAGATCCACAAATAAACCTTGATCAATAACACACATACATGAAGAACACCAAATATGATAAACTGAAGCTTAAACATGTTTCATTTGAGTTTAACTAACCCTTTAATTGTATTTACAACATCAAAGACAAACAACCCAAAGTACCTGCAGGTGCCAACAGGAATGTCTTGACTGTGATCTGCCCATTGTTCATATATGTGCATGTGCCGTTATTCACAGTTCTTCTCTTTTGTTCATGGATAGGTATGCTGTCCCATCAACTAAAGCAACATGTTATTGATGGAGAAAAGACCATTATCCAGAACCCTACAGATCAGCAAAGGTATAAAACAAACCTGAATATTGAATTTCTTAATGTTCTCAAACATCTCTATCCAAGCAAGCACATTTTATGACACCTCAGAGCCACAGTGTTTATACATTTTGGAAAAATTGGTCGTCAACAAATGGCTTACTTACAATATCTGCAGTTAAAGGTGGGATAAGTATTTTAGTATTATTAAAAAATGGCTTCTTATCTATAAGATTTTTGCTTGGCAAAGTTTATGGGTGGATTCTTTTGACTTAAGAAACAAGCAATTACATATGAAACATGTTAATAGCAATCAGTACAGAGATTGTCAGGGGCAAGCACAATAATCTCCACTGTTTGTCTCATAACAGGAAGGACCACGAGAAGGCAGAGTTTGAAGTTCATGAAGTTTATGCCGTGGATGTGCTGATCAGCACAGGAGAGGGAAAGGCAAGTATTCACACGTTTATGAATGACACCTGGCATTTTAAATCTGTTCTGCATGGTTGTAATGAAATAGATTTGATTGTATACCGTAGAGACAAATGGCCATTTAACCTGTATGATTTCACCAATAGGCAAGAGATGGCGGTCAGAGGACAACCATCTACAAACGGGACCCCAGTAAGCAGTATGGGCTGAAAATGAAGACCTCGAGAATGTTCTTCAGCGAGGTGGAGAGGCGCTTTGACGCTATGCCCTTCACTCTTAGGTGGGCAGCAGCACTATCCTCCAATTTGTTTGGTTTCTAATTGGCTAAATCAAGAAGTGCATCTGAATTAGATATTCTGTTCTTCGATGAATGAAGCAGGCTCAAATGATGTGAGAACAATGCTGTTGATTTTTGATGACGTGTGTGCTTTATATTTGTAGTATCACATGAGAATGCTAGGATAATGACTTTAACACGTGGTGGAAAAATCGATGGTTTAGATTTCATGGTGATTCGGTAAACAAAGTAGACTTTGTGTCCTGCAGGGCGTTTGAGGATGAAGGAAAGGCTCGTTTGGGAGTGGTGGAGTGTGCCAAACATGAGCTTCTGCAGCCTTTTAGTGTGCTGAATGAGAAAGAAGGTCAGTTTCATTATCATTGCGGCATTTCTTCTTTCTTTACCTGGTAAATCTGTCTTTTTCACCTGTTTCTGTCTTTAGGTGAATTTGTGGCTCAGTTTAAGTTCACAGTGCTGCTGATGGCCAATGGGCCTTTGAGAATCACCAGTGGGCCATTTGAAGAGGAACTCTACAAGTCTGAATATGATGTTCAAGATCCTGAACTGAAGGTATGTTAGACCCATCTATTCTATTTCAATTTGCTATAAATGAAGGTTTTTCCTACCATGATGTCTTGGCTTCTTCTGTCATTTTCAGTCTCTGATCCAGAGTTCTGCAAGTCGCAAAGCACAGAAGAAGAAGAAAAAGAAGGTGAGGCCTTTGTAAGAAGGAACAATCCTCATGTTGTTCCCGAACAAAAAACGCAAAATGAGAAGCTCAATAGAATGAAACAAGAAGAAAGAAGCTTTTAAGCCATTAGAAAGATGGCAATCTCGATTTCTGTACAGATCATTTGCACTCCTGTAAGAAACTAGGTTCAACAGAAATTTCCAGCAAATTTCTTACATTTTTAGTTTGTGTTTCCCACATCACTATTATATGGCTTCAGATAATGGAATATGGCATGCAGGATCTATGGATTAAAGCCTGTTCACACCAAGAATGATAAATGTATTGCATCCATACTAACATTCTGTTTATCATAAGCATCCCTGCAGTTATGTCATCTGCATCTTTACATGCTCAAGCAGGATGCATTCTGATTGGCTGTCAGTGTGTTTATTATTCATCAGCTGGTAAAAAATCATTCTGAATGTGTTTTAAAATATCGTTCCTCTGTGTCGTTATTGTTATAGTTGTGGTATGGACTTCCTATTCTCATAGATTGTTTCATTATAGTTTTACGATGCTTATATTGTTATAGTTATCATTATGGATTATCAGTATAGTTATCATCCTTGGTGTGAACAGGCCTTCAGACTTATGGTGCTTTGGTCATTTTGGAGCTTGACTGTCAACATTCATTATAATTATATGAAAAATAGTCATCGTCAGCCTGCACAAAGGCATGACAGCCATGCAGGTTTTTATGGGTGCATTTTAACTTTTGAAACTGTCATGGAATTCTGGTTATTTTGCATAATTGAATACCATCAGTGTCTTTCTGATGCCTTTTGTTATAGGCCTCCAAAACTGCAGAGACCGCTACAGGCCAACCAGCTGAGAATGAAGTTGCAGCTAAATAGAGGCGACTCAACTCCACCCTCTCCCGAAAACGTCAACATTTCACTCTCGCCCTACTGTTTATCCTCATCAGATTTGATCAAGAGTCACTGTTGAAGCCTGTGTTTAAGCATTTCTGCCTCCCCCTGTTGCGGAGAAATGTCATTTAGATTTGGACTATAAGCGAGTGCAACAAATTTGTACTTTCATGATGAATCTATTAACTCTTTTGAAGCACTCGATTTACATTTCAACTGGAACGCAATGCCTTTTTCAAAATGTAATTAAAAAAGCTTCGCAATTCTTTTGTAGAGTTGCGTTTTTAACAACATGTACTGGTGACTGTTTTGAAATGCTTTATTTGGCCCAAAGCTTCATTTGAAACTGCATTACATTAGATTAAGTGGTTTGGGAAAGAAACAAATTCGATATTTCTCAGGGTTCTGAAGAAAAACATCTCTCTTATCTGAGAAGTAGTTTTGTACAATTAGGGTGAAGAATTTGATGACTTACAGGGGCATTAGAATTGGAATCCAGTGTATAGAATTCCTAAGCACTCCATCGTTGTGACGCTATAGCATTTTCAAAAAGGGGAAGATTAAGTCTTTCTCTTAACTGCCATCCCTTTCCACAAGTGTCACATTTGAAGATAACATTAGGGAATGTATTGGTCATACTTTATTCCTGCCCATTTTCTTTTTTTCCCTCCACATTTTAATGTCTAATTATCTTTTGTCGATGCAGGGAGATTTTCCAAACATATTTTAAATTGTAATAATTCAAGTTAATATTAGAAACTGATTTATTAGGGATTTGGTTAAAGTTCTGGTCCAAGATACACTAAAGCTACTTCAACCCACTGAAAAAGGTTATAACTTCCACTTGCCAAGGGCCAACATATTATCACTTAATCTTCTACAAGCAATAGAGTGTCTGTTTGACTGGATATACAGATCAAATCTAGGCTCGGACTGGATTGAGAAGCTTTCCCAATGTCATTTTACAATCCAGTCAGTGCAGTTATTTCAGGAGAGGTGATGGGAAGTGGCTCTAGAGCATTTCTGGATCAGTCCTATTATTTGAGACTTAGTTGATGCTGGTTCAATACATCTTTTGAAATGATTGTGACTTTTGTTCCGTTTCCAGATTGTAAAGGTTTATGTGGCAAAGGAGGCTGGAGGTTTGGATTTGACACGATCTTGTTTTTGTAGTACGAACCATCATATGGGACTATTTTACAACTAATGAAATAAAACATAAGTTTGAATATACTTTCTTTAAGATTGTCATTGTTAATTGTAAAAATGCACACACTTTATGCCAAGCCTTTGTATAGTTTGTGTACTAGGGTTGTTTAATTTGAGTTCTATGTTAGTTATGAGTAAGTCATTTAGACGTTCGAAGCATTTGTAATAGCTCTGAGAAAATAACAGGAACTTTTTGAAGGTTTTGTGTCGATGTACTATTTATAAACCAGATAATTATATGTCTACCGCTTTATTTCTATCTCCAGTAGGGAGAAGTTGATCCTTTGAATGGAAAAGTAGGGTTTCTTTTTATATGACAACAGATGGCGCTGTGCGGCCCAGACTATCAAATCCCTGTTGAAGTTCATTCAGATGCGTGATCCAAGTCTTCCAGTTTACTAGAGAGACTGAAACATGTTATTATTAAAATCGATAAACGCCAAAGACCAGACACAATCGTCCACGACAATACTTAAAACTAGCATTTACATTTCAACTGGAACGCAATGCCTTTTTCAAAATGTAATTAAAAAAGCTTCGCAATTCTTTTGTAGAGTTGCGTTTTTAACAACATGTACTGGTGACTGTTTTGAAATGCTTTATTTGGCCCAAAGCTTCATTTGAAACTGCATTACATTAGATTAAGTGGTTTGGGAAAGAAACAAATTCGATATTTCTCAGGGTTCTGAAGAAAAACATCTCTCTTATCTGAGAAGTAGTTTTGTACAATTAGGGTGAAGAATTTGATGACTTACAGGGGCATTAGAATTGGAATCCAGTGTATAGAATTCCTAAGCACTCCATCGTTGTGACGCTATAGCATTTTCAAAAAGGGGAAGATTAAGTCTTTCTCTTAACTGCCATCCCTTTCCACAAGTGTCACATTTGAAGATAACATTAGGGAATGTATTGGTCATACTTTATTCCTGCCCATTTTCTTTTTTTCCCTCCACATTTTAATGTCTAATTATCTTTTGTCGATGCAGGGAGATTTTCCAAACATATTTTAAATTGTAATAATTCAAGTTAATATTAGAAACTGATTTATTAGGGATTTGGTTAAAGTTCTGGTCCAAGATACACTAAAGCTACTTCAACCCACTGAAAAAGGTTATAACTTCCACTTGCCAAGGGCCAACATATTATCACTTAATCTTCTACAAGCAATAGAGTGTCTGTTTGACTGGATATACAGATCAAATCTAGGCTCGGACTGGATTGAGAAGCTTTCCCAATGTCATTTTACAATCCAGTCAGTGCAGTTATTTCAGGAGAGGTGATGGGAAGTGGCTCTAGAGCATTTCTGGATCAGTCCTATTATTTGAGACTTAGTTGATGCTGGTTCAATACATCTTTTGAAATGATTGTGACTTTTGTTCCGTTTCCAGATTGTAAAGGTTTATGTGGCAAAGGAGGCTGGAGGTTTGGATTTGACACGATCTTGTTTTTGTAGTACGAACCATCATATGGGACTATTTTACAACTAATGAAATAAAACATAAGTTTGAATATACTTTCTTTAAGATTGTCATTGTTAATTGTAAAAATGCACACACTTTATGCCAAGCCTTTGTATAGTTTGTGTACTAGGGTTGTTTAATTTGAGTTCTATGTTAGTTATGAGTAAGTCATTTAGACGTTCGAAGCATTTGTAATAGCTCTGAGAAAATAACAGGAACTTTTTGAAGGTTTTGTGTCGATGTACTATTTATAAACCAGATAATTATATGTCTACCGCTTTATTTCTATCTCCAGTAGGGAGAAGTTGATCCTTTGAATGGAAAAGTAGGGTTTCTTTTTATATGACAACAGATGGCGCTGTGCGGCCCAGACTATCAAATCCCTGTTGAAGTTCATTCAGATGCGTGATCCAAGTCTTCCAGTTTACTAGAGAGACTGAAACATGTTATTATTAAAATCGATAAACGCCAAAGACCAGACACAATCGTCCACGACAATACTTAAAACTAGCAATAGCTAAAATGTCTAATTCCGCAACCACTTACCTGTGGCAAGACAGGTATACATGAACTTAGTTAAAAATAAAATTTTAGTAAGGAAATTGTTTTATCCATTTAATCATTTACCCTGATATGCTAGAGATTTCGGATTTTTTTTTAAACGAATCATATAGGAGTCGGATCTTTTCACTGATTCTGTACAAGTTCCGAAACGACAACGTGGCGAAAAGTTTCAATGTACTGTACTCGAAATATATCTACAGCTTGACTTTATTAGTTCAGTTTTATCAGCACACATACGAAGCAGATACAAATAACTAAATAAATAAATAACCTAAAAAAGCTGAGTATGTTAAAATGGGATGCCAGGGTGTCAGGTGAACACGTAGTTAATTCATCACGTAAATTGCTGAATCGTTTAAAAACAGTTCTCTGAAACGAACCGTTCGAAAGAATCGACTCGAAAATGAATCTGAATGAGGTTGTAAACGTCAAGATAGGTAGATTTTCTATGCGTCACCGGTTCATAATTATAATTTACTATTAAATATATTTGGTATCTGTTATTTTTTATTATTATTTCGCCTATTATTTATCATTATTTCCGTTTTTATACATTCAAATTTTAATTCATAATTTTGAATATTGTTCAGTTCATGTACTTTTGCATCTATTAAAAAGATACACTGCCCTATTTTGGTCATTATTTCACGCTCACGGCCTTGCAACCAACGTGTTTCTATGGATCCAGCTCCCGCTAGATAGAAGAACGCTTGCATGAACAATCACTTTTTGCTGGGGGGTGTAATGCTAACAAACCAATAGCTTGTGGTCAAGGCTCGTTACAATCCAATCCCCGTTCCGTAAGGGAGCCGGTGGGTGTGACCGGAGGGCGACGGAGAGGCGGGCGCAAGAGGGCGCGATGCTGAGTTCGGTTGAGGAGTTGAGAGGACAGCGGCATCAGTGCAAAGGGGCGAAACAAGGGAATATTTGGCCGACTTTCAAAAGAACTGGATTATAAAAACTGGACGCGCTGGATAGCAACTAATTCATCTCTTCGTGCACGTAACGTTAGGTCTCATCGCTGACAGCCCGTGGTAAGTTCATGCGTCTTTTCATTTTGGCCCGTTTATCCCCCGTTGCCGTATAACGGATTATTTTTCGCATTAACGTTACTTTTCAGGCAGCGGGGAGAGCTAGCGCTTAGCCCACGTTAGCGAGTTTGTTATTGCGGTTCTTTTAAGCAGATAAATACATTTCCAAATTGAACAATCCTTTTCCTTTGGGTAGCCCCGAGCACCGTATGTCGGCTAATGCACTTATAAAACGTTTGTCCGCCTCGCCACGGGCCATATAACGGGAGATGGTGATGAGGAGGAGTCGCGTGCAGCTCCCGGTTTGCAGGCGCGAACTTCAGCTCGTGTTATCTCAGTTAACGGTCACCTCGTCGCTTTATTTGTATACGTACTAATGTGGCATATTTGTCGGTAATAATTTCAAATTATTTTTTGAGACAGTGACCGTTAGAATGGTGTTTTTGAGGTGGTTTATCATTGAATGAATTTTTGAAGGACTGTCCGGCCCTGGAGTCCCGCTTCAGTTTAACGTTACCGGGGATTCATCACGCGTATAATGGCTCTCATCGGTGAAATAACAGACATGACCCATTTTTTTGCCCTGCTTGCCTTATTTTAACCTTATTTTATTTTCTCTGTGAAAATTACAGTAACGTTAACTCTTAGTCCAGTTGTAGGCCAGAGTAGACCGAGACCATCTGGCTCTTGCTGTTATGAGGTTGTTGTTTTTTTGTTAATGCGACTGTGAAAGGCCACTGGAGGTGATACATATTAAACTTACATTAACTAGTATGTGTAAACTGATTCAGACAATGTTTTATACGCAGCTGATTCATGACAGTATGAACTTTGTCTAGCTGCATGTTCCAAAAATGCAGTATTTGACGAATGTTAACTAATAGTGGACTAGTAAGGTGTGAGATATAAATCCACACAGTAGTTTAATATTTTTGTATCTTATGAATGTATGCCAGAAAAACTACTACAGCTGTTTTATTTTTACAATAAGGACTGGTTTAAAATGTTAACCATAGATGAATTGAATGCTGCATAGTATTTGCAAATTGAATGTTCTCGGCTATATCCATGTAAAACCAATGAAATATTGACCCTTTATACTCCTATGCCACGGCTGTGTCATATCGCATAAATTTGAAGTGAATCTCTGCTCTTCCATCACTAACTCTCTCTTAACTCTTTTTCCAGGTGGCCTATTTTTAGTTCCTCATGCCGGAGATGGCGCAACGGAGCGGGCAAGAGGACCCAGAGCGGTACCTCTTTGTGGATCGGGCCATGGTCTACAACCCAGCTAACCAGGCAGACTGGACGGCCAAGAAGCTGGTGTGGGTTCCTTCTGAACGGCATGGGTTCGAGGCGGCCAGCATCCGAGAGGAACGTGGAGAGGAGGTGCTCGTTGAGCTGGCTGAAAATGGCAAGAAGGCCCTGGTGAACAAAGATGACATCCAGAAGATGAACCCGCCCAAGTTCAGCAAAGTGGAGGATATGGCAGAACTCACCTGCCTGAATGAAGCATCTGTTTTACACAACTTGAAAGATCGCTACTACTCTGGGCTCATATATGTAAGTGTGATGATGATAATACATTTGCTTTCAAGTTGCAGACTTTTCTACCTTGGTTTTTGCAGGTTTACGTTGGGAGTAGGGCTGCAACTAATGATTATTTTGATCATTGATTGATCTGATGATGTTCCTTGTTAATTTCGGTGAAAAGTCAACTTTTATTTTCTGCATTTTGTTTCTGCAAACAAAGAGAGTGTGAAGCAAGCTGTTTGGAGGTGTAGCCCCATCATTTCCTCCATTCCCCAAGTGTGAAGGAGCTGCTATGAGGTCATTATGAAATCTCAATGAGAGCAGCCACTTGTCTTCACACTTCTGTTGATATTACCACCCAGTTACATCCTTTAAAACACTGGATGGAATTTATCCAGTTTAACTTTTCATTTCCCAACATTGAAAGCTTTTCTAGGTTGTCGGTAACAGAGATCATCTCGATTGGCCGCACTTCAGGCGTTATGAAAGCAGGCGCTGTTGTCATTTTACACAGTGATGAGAGAGTGCAGACCACTCTCCCATAACCACTTAGTGGAAAATAGTCAGGCTGGATTGTAAGGCTAGTTCCCTGCATTTTTTGGTATTTAAGCCTCTGTTCCATGTGGTTGCTGTGCTCCCATCTTATAGGCTACAGTAATTAGCTGTAGAGGCCCATGCTTGGCCTAGTAAAACCTGAAGTTTTATAACAGGACCTTTGTGTTTGGCATCGAGCTGCAGCTGGCTTGTAATATCTGTGAGATGTCAAGATGTCAGACTGATTGTTGATAGCACCTGCATTCCTCAAATTTCTCAGCTTCCTTATTACTGTTGGCTAATGTTTATGTTTGAAGAAATATAGCCCACAAAATGGAAGCATAATGTTATATATTTACTTAAAGGTTGTATATTCTTTCCTGTGCGTGGCTGGTGTGTGGTATGTGCTCTCATATCTGCTGTGTGGGTAGAGCCGTGGAGTTGCTGCATTTCTCTCTGCCTTCCCACGCCCCTCTGTTCTCGAATAGCATGATGGGCGATGACACGTTAGACTTGATTTCTCTTTATGGGTTTGTTTAAACAAATATTTTCCAGTTCTATATATTCATCATAAAATGATTTTTTTTTTCTTTGGTTTTAAAACGTTTTTTTTGAGCTTGTAATTTTTAATTGAAAAACCACACCTTGATCTTTCAGCGAAATGTCAGACTTCTTTCTTTTTTGTGTCGTATGCTGAACATATGCTTTCATTTCTTCTGCTTAAACCCAGCTCCTATCTTACAGTAGACTGCAAACTTCATTCAGATCCAATCAACAACTGCTGAATTGAACCAAGTCCCCACCTTACTGTTTTTTTTCTTTTTCTTTTTCAATAATCCATTTCACTCGGATGTATGTCACATACAGAAGAAATGATCTGCCGCTATTTCCATTACATTGGGAAATTAAATGTACTGGAATATGTAGTTGTGGCTTGTTTTGCTCCATTATCAGAATTAAAAAAGTAAGAATGATGAGACCATTGTAGTATCCTCGGATATTAGGCTATACAGTTTTGGTGTTTTGATGAGAGGCTTCTTGCATAACATGAGAGATGCAGAACAATCAGTTGACTCATTTCCTTTTTTTGTTAGGTTTCACAGATTTTGACAGGATTTGAAAAATGAGTAAAATCGGATCACAAACTGTTGAATCTTTTGTGTTTTTGTAAGAACTCTGCCAGGATGTTAAGACCGATATCTCCATTGAGTAAACCTTTCCGGTTAAGGAAGTCTACCTACTTTATTTTACACATAAAGCCTAAAGCCAGTTTTGATGCACTACATTTTTTATTTCTTGTCTGGTGTCATCTCTATTTATCTTCAGAAGTTATGACCGATAAAATGTCATTAGTACTAGTTTAAACTGGAGTTGTGTCTGTTGTTTTTGTGATCTCCAGTGGTTTGTTGTTGTTATTGTTGTTGTTTTTCCAACAGAACCATTTCTTTTTCAACTGTGAAACAATGGCCCTGGCGTTTGCTGCCAACTTGTGAACAAACTAATTAAAATAAAAATGACATAAGTCAAAGCGATGTGTGAGCTGAGCGATGAATATGGGCAGTTAGATATACAGTACATCAGTTGTACTGTACGCTAGTGTTGGGCGATATGCTCAACTGTCATATCGTCCTATCATCAGCCTGTGAGATTGCCGATACAATATATTATTGTGCTAATTTATTTATTTAATTATTTATTTACTTAGCTTCATTGCTGGAAAGTGAACCATCTCCAGTGTAAGGCTAAAAGCAGCCTAATGTTTTTAAAGGTATACTCCACCCCAAAATTAAAATTTTGTCATTAATCACTTACCCCCATGTCGTTCCAAACCCGTAAAAGCTTCGTTCGTATTCGGAACACAATTTAAGATATTTTGGATGAAAACCGGGAGGCTTGTGACTGTCCGATTGGCTGCCAAGTAAATTACACTGTCAAGTAGGGCTGTCAAAAAAATGTTGAATTTCGAATATTCGTCGAATTTAAAATAAAAATCCACATTCGAATGCAAAAATTTTAGGTGTGCATCAGGCAGCCTTATCAGTGGTGCACGAAATGCAGAAATTGAACCCACTAGATGCGGCGCTGCTACGTTGTTCATTCAAAATATTGCGGAAAAAGAGAACATCAATGCTGAGATGATGTCGTTTATGTTAAAACCGAAACCAAGCCTTTCACACAGAACGCATATTTATCACATTTTCTAGAGGGACATCTATCACCGTTGCACTCGCATCTCGCACAAGAGAGCCGCATGTTTAGAAAGCCATGTAAAAATTAATGTAAGTTCAACTTTTTAAAAACATGTCTCAAGACTTTATGGCGGTTTTTCCCCATCCCACTGCATCTCATGATTTTAAATGAAGAAAATACTCTTTGTGATTGGTTTTCGGTCCTTTGTATTAAACTATACATATATGCATGATGCTGTTTTTTTTCTAATTGTTTAAGCAACTTTAATTATATAAGGTTTATAAACAGAATAGAGTACGCTGCTTGCGTTCAGTGGTTGTTCTCCAAAATGGCGCTACGGTGATGCGGAGAGACACAGAGGAGACAAATTGTTGAATAAAGTCGTTATTTTTGTTTTCTTCACGTACAAAATGTATTCTCGTCGCTTCATAACGTTATGGTTGAACCACTGATGGCAGATGGACTATTCTGACGATGTCTTTCATACTTTTCTGGACCTTGACAGTGTAATTTACTTGGCAGTCAATCGGACAGTCACAAGCCTCCCAGTTTTCATCCAAAATATCTTAAATTGTGTTCCGAAGACGAAGAAGCTTTTAGGGGTTTGGAACGACATGGGGGGTAAGTGATTAATGACAAAATTTTCATTTTGCGGTGGAGTATCCCTTTAATATGACTGAATTTGTATTTAACATGATAACAATTTAATAGAAAAATTGTAAGTTACTAATCATAAAGCTTACGTTTACTCCGTTATTCAAAAAGCAGCTACATAAAATGAGCAAATAACATTTACATTACCAAAGAACATCATAACTGATTTATGAGTATATTCACTTTAAAAAACACTCCCGTTATAATCAGTGAAGCTGTTTACATTGTATGATGAGTGAATCTCTTATACTTACATTGCACGTACATCTGTACTTTTTTGTTTATGATGAGAGAATTCGCAGGTCAGAATTCAGTCAGCGTGCACTGAACAACAAAACTCCGCTGTTTCAGCGATAACTCATCTGAACACCTCTGATTGGCCATTGCATTCATAAGCTCAACATAATCGTGTGTGATTGGTTATAACGTGCAACACGGTGAAAATGCGGAAAAAGAAATATAATGGAACAAATAAACTCTAATATTATTTAGATAGTATTACTAGCCTGATAATAATAATAATAAAAATAAGAATAATCATTTTGCTATCGTTAAAGGCATCAGCCACAGGCGATATCTGTCTATTTTCGATACACGATACTAGGGGTGGAACGGTTGAACTTACGGTTCGGTTTGTATCACGGTTTTAGAGTCACGGTTTCAGTATGACTCGGTATGTGCTATGTTTAGGGAAAAACTATACTGTCAAATAAAAATAAAGAAAATAAATATAACTACAAGCAACAGCACAAATAAATACAATAGAGTAAAGATCCAAATAAAATAAACAGTGATTTTCAGTTGTTTTTTTTTGGTAGGTCTAACATTAGTTTTTAGGTATAGAAATTTAATAACGTAATGAAATGTAAAACAGCATTGCATATTTCACTGTATGAGTGAATTCTTTGTTGCTGTTTGATTAATAGTGCTGTCACTTTTATTAGGCGCTATCAGCACCCGGGTGATGACATAATAAATGACTGCTCATATTCCAGCATACGGCATTCGCATTGAACAAGAGTGAATGGTTTGTCCACGTTTTTTTTTTTTTTTCCATCGCTGTTGTTGTAATGTACTGGGAAGCCAGAATACGCATTCATCAACAGAAACATACATTAGCCGAACCCTGTTTGTTTTACGTGTTATTTATAGCAAACCATATTACAGATGTGTTGTCAGATTTAAGTTGAACCGCGGTCCTAGCGCGTGCCGAACCGTGTGTGGAGAACCGTACGGTTCGATTTTTTTCCGCGAACCGTTCCACCCCTACACGATACTATCTTCTATCGGCACAAACCTAATGTAAATTCTTCCAAAAAACTCCAAATTATTATTTGGGAATAACATGCTAAAATTATACAGGGATACTCAAAATCAGCTAGTGTGTATGGGTTAGGTTGCCGGAACAACTAGTCAATCTTAAGAAGCTCTATCAAATTAGGCTGGTTTAAGGTCATGACTGATCAAATGGATTTCTTAGATGATGAATACACAACACAAATAAATAAGATAAATAACCATAAACTGGCAAATTATTTGTTGGATAGTCTTATAATGACTCATAACTGACGCAGTGCTTTATAGTTATTCAGTGCATGTTAAATTGTTTATGATTGCCGTTGTGCATAGCTCAGATTGGAAGCTGTTTTCTT